AAGAGACAGGTGTGTGTATATATGCATATATATTTGTACATGTACATACATGTATTTTTTATCTTAAGTATCACTAAAACTACCATTAGACCTATCAGCCCTACCAATATTGGCAACAGACTACACTTGTAGCAGGAATCTGTTTCTCCCCGCCTCATCTGAGCAGCAATTTCCCAGGTCTCCCAGCAATGCCACTCAGCATGGCCAGCTTCAAGCAGAGCTGATCTGTGCCTGCAGAGTGTGTCTGATGCATCCTGAATCATTGGATTTGGGATGCAAGCACAGAGCAATTGGACATGGGCAAGAGATCTGATGCAGCGTCCTGTAGCTACACTCTAAAAACCCAGACTCTTAAAGGGAATTATGGATTAACCCTGCCAGGATCTAATCCTTAATGTCTTAATCCATGATCATAAGAAGTAAAAGCACAGCAGGCCACTGAATCTAGGTCTCCTAAGTATCAAACTAATGGCCTAACTATTGGGCCATTCTTTACAATTCAAGAGTTGAGCCTCAATTCCTCTCTGATGCCTAATTCTCTATACCATACTGTTAATCAATACAATTTACTTGACTTAAATCTGATGATCATTCTGTTTATTGACTTGAAAATAATCCAGTATCATGCTAATATTTTAAAATTTGGCTATTGTCTGTATGTGATTTAGCTATTATAGAAATTTTTTTAACAAAGTTGCTCAATACCAAAAATAATCAATGAGTGTTTAAATTTTCATTTGAGGAAGAATGACTAAACAAATTAGAGCAAAAATTGGCTTATTCTATTATTTGTTTGCTAATGCTAACAGTAATACTAGTTGTCATGCAATTTCAGTTTACACAGAAGCACTTGAAAAAATAAAAGTCACAATTCAAGCAGGAGACCAAGCTCCTACAAAAATGGTACGTTTAGTAGCATTTGAAGATCCAGAGGCACAAGTATCTACCCGCAGAAAAAGAGTGAAGAAAATCCTGGATGATATTTATGACCAGGTACTGTTGTAAAAATCCATCTCTAGATTTGGGGGAGACATTAAAAAAAGCTTAGTTATTTGTATTTCTTTTACTAAGCAGCTTCCTTTGTTTATATAGTACACAAAAAAATGAAAAAAAAAATACAGGCTTTTGGGTACGCAAGTCTTTCTGCAGGTCTTTTGTTTTCATTCATCTCTTCTGCAGGTGAAGGACATCAGAAACAGCAGGTTGGTTTTGTAGGTTTTTCTGAAAATCTCTTCTAAGACATAAAATAGCTGTTGTGTGCCCAAAAGGTAGTCTGTTCTTTCCAACTACTGCAACTGTAGCAAAAATGTATGACACCTACCTACACAATTTGCCCCAAGATAGTCACAGCTACAGCACTGTCGTTACCAATATTAGTTACATGTAATTTTATGATCAAGAATTTCTACACATCTTCATTATCACAAAAGGGTTTGAAGTATTGTTCTACTTTTGTGTGGTTTTAACACATTATTATGAATTTGCCTTATTGTGATGTATTGCAAGAATGCTATCAGGCATACATCTTGTCTTTACGGCAGCAGAGATTCATAGTATCTGTATCTCTCAGTAATATCATTTCTGTACTTGATTTTACTTACAGCCTTCTGTAGGAACATAGAAAAATAATTTTGTTTTTCCAATGGTACCATTGACTAGGGGACAAGAAAATCCAGAAGTTCATCGTCCAGTGCCAGCAGCGCCAGTGGAAGTGCCAAGAGTACAGCAAGCAGTCCCTCCAGCAGCAACTCTGACAACAGAGCATCACAGGGAGACACACAGATAAATCTGAAAGCAAGAAGATCCAAAGTTGAAGAAAGGAAATTCTACCCCTTTGGGGACAGCGTCATTAGCAGCAGCAGCAGCAGTAGCAGCAAAAGCAGCAGTAGCAGCAGCAGTAGTAGTAGTAAGAGCAAAAGCAGTAGTAGTAACAGCAGCAGTAGCAAAAGCAGTAGCAGTAGTAGCAGCAGCAAGGGCAGCAGTAGTAGCAGCAGCAGCAGTAGTAGTAGTAGTAAGAGCAAAAGCAGTAGCAGTAACAGCAGCAGTAGCAAAAGCAGTAGCAGTAGTAGCAGTAGCAGTAGCAGCACAGGTAGCATCAACAGCAGCAGTAGCAAAGCATCTAGTATAAAGCGTAAGGCTAAGAAGCAGTTCAAGACCACACCATTTTCACCTGCGAGCGCTGCTGAAGGAGAGAGAAGTGTCCGTGAGCAGAAGCATAAAACACAGAGTAGCAGCAGCAGCAGCAGAAGCACCAGCAGTGGCACCAACAGCAGCAGTGAAAGCAGTAGTGCTTCCTATCGCCACAGCAAATATGACAGACAAGCTGAGAGTAGTCATGACATTTCTACAGAATGGGTAAATTTTTCTAATGCTTTGGCTACTGTTAGGAGGTGATCCTTACTGAGCTGTAGGTAATAACTTCTTTTGGAATTTTGCAGGCATATCACCTTCCAAAAGTATACCAGCTCCGCTTCAGATCCACTCATGTCCATTGGGTAGGTCCTTAATTCAAATGCACATTCCACGTGGTGGCTATAGCTGATATGAATCAAACATATTACTGAAGGGCTTTGGTTTACCTCACTTGAGCATCCCATACTGTCCAATTGACAATGGCCAAAATAAGCAGATTTATTACTAAAATACTGACTATTACACTACATCCTTCTGTTGTTGCAGAACTTGCAATCCTCAAATTTGGGTTAGGACTCCTTTGGGCTGGATGCTGTACAATGCAACCAAAGCTAAGTTAACAAAGATAATGGGGGAATTATAAAACAGCAGGATCTTCCAATGGGACTAACTGTGTCCACAGGTTTTAGGCTATCATGGCAAAATCATCAGGTATGTGGATTGTATCAGAAACCAGGTTCAGTGTGTATTATGGCACAGAGGTGGTTTAAGTATGTTTTAGAAGGATGACAATGTAGTGGCATTTGTAGGTGTTACCTGTAAAGTTATTAAGTACTCTGCTTGTGAAAGGAAGGTGATTTACATCTTTGGTTACATTGTTTTTAATTAAATTATTATCTCATATCTAAAAAATATGGATATATTTGACCACTTTTTGTCAGGTTTTATTTTCTCTAACATCAGACCTAGACAATGTGATGTTGCCATTGCAATCTCTGTGCGTGTGGTCTTCCTATCGACAGAGAGGTCTAGGTGGATCCAAGACATATTCCTAGCCAATGTATTTCATGTGTGCATAAGATAATACAAAAAATACTCTACGTGTGTCTTAAATTTGTCTGTCACCTATAGAGGGAAGCGGATAGCTCTGAAAAAACTAGAGGCCATATCATAAATTTTTAACATTTCTTTTTTTCATAGCATCCAGATCATAAGATATCAAGCAGCTCTTCATCATCTTCCTCTGAGTTGGGAAGCAGCCACCTCAACAGCAGCAGCAGCAGCAGCAGCAGCTACCACCATGGAGAAAGCTCTGGCCACAGCTCAAGGAGCCCGGTAAACGGAGGAGTCAGCAGGCAGCGCAGCCATGGTTCCAGCCTGACACGAGAGGTACTGCTGTCTGTGTGGTACAAGTGACCAGGCGGGCTTTGCTGGCTGCAGAGCGGGAACTGTAGCTGTGGTGGCACTCCAACCGCTTGAGGGGATTAAGCTCAGAAAGCACTCTCAGGTCAAATTTTTAAATTGAAAGTCACAGTCTGTTGAGATATTTTCCCCCATGAAAATATTTTCCCAAATTCCTTTGGCTTCAGGGTTTTGTTTGCTGATTTCTTGGGTGTATTTTCCCTCATTTGTAAAGACTTTTGCAGTAAATGAAAACCTGGATTGGGAAATTATAAAAACTGAAGGGAATGAGGTGTAAATTAAAGAAGAAAGAATTTCATTTTTCCTATGAAAGACCAAAATGCAAAATAAACTGCATTAAGGTAAAAATGGGGAGGAAATAAATAGGTTTTATTTAAAGATTTTTTTAAACCTAATTAGGTTTAGATGTAGACCTGAGGTCATGAGTGCACGCAGAGTATAACTAAAATCAGACTCTCCATTGTCATTACTGATTGCTAAATGTAAGGTTCCATTAAGCACAGATAATCTTTATATTTATTATAGACTTAGTATTCTATAATTGTACTAAGTAAAGATACCTACCTAATAATACAACAAATAGCTCTGCAAATGCCGGCAATGTCTATGGGAACTGTGTTACTAAGGATTTCAAAATAGTCAGTTGGCTTGAAGGAGCTGTAGTATAGTAAAATATGTTGTGAATGTGTGTATGCTATACAGATATCTAGTACATATTGTAGTCAGCTATTTGAAATACTGAAATAATGAACAAAATCTTACTACATGCATAGATAGTTTGGAAGAGTCTTGGATCCCTCATCAAAACAATCAATCAGTCTGAAAATTCCTGGTGGTAATGAAATAATCAAGATTCCAACCAAATTTATCCTTAAATATTGGGGATATAGAAATATGTACCACACACTAAACTGACAAAGGATGTGGGCTGCTTCCTGCTATCGGCACACATAAACTGGACTACAGGTTCTCCAGTGAATATACAGAAATACACAGATGGATGGGGGTTGTTTTTCAGCGCAACTTCCTGGGAGACGTAATTCCACCTGGCGTTACGATTGTGGCACAGGCAGTAAGGAGTGACAACAGAAATCAAGGTTATCAAGCTACAGCATATGTTCGTCCTGATGCTGCCAAAGTTGATGTGCAACTAGTTGTGGTTCAGCTGGCTGAAACCAATTGGAAAGTGTGTGCTGACGCTGTAATACTGCCTCTGAAAGCACAGGTAAGCATACAGGCAGCTTCACCTAGAGAGACATCTAAAAAGCCCAGAGTTTTTTTAATAAGCACAGAGCACCTGCTGATTAGGAGAGCTAAACAGGAAAAACATACATAGTTTGAAATGTTTCACAATGTTTGTGAAATTTCCGAAAATGTTGCTATCTTTCACCATTCTATTGAATTAAAAATAAAAATAAAAATAAAAATAAAAAATCAGCTGCTTCAAAATCTGGCAAAAAATATATTGACTTTCAAGATACATCAAAATATGACCAGTAGAAGTATAAAAAATGTTTGAAAAATCAACTGCTTCATTACTACTTATTTATTGTTTGCTCTCCTATGAGTTTGCTTATCTGGGCATCTGGCTGGTTTTCTCTATATAATTCATTTTACAAGATTCATAACTCAAATACATTTGAAATGTTGTAATTCTTAGGATTTATATGAAAAGATGGAAAAAGTAAAGTTGGGTAATGGGTTGATGCCTGAGAAAGCATCATAAATAAAGGAACAGGTCTTTCCTTTTTTGTGTCTCCCTGTGCTGTGCTTCCCATGTGCCTTTTAATGCAAGAGACCGTTGTGTAACAATTTACAAAACTCTGCTTTTTGCAGCTGTGAATAACAAATTCAGCATGATATTTCAGTACAGACAAAAGCAGGGTGGGGTTCAAATCAAGAGGTATTGGGGAAGGCTAATAGAAATTATAGCACTGTCTCCCTCATAATCTATTGATTATGAAGTTACCAAGTCTAAAGAAATCTCAGGAAATTATGACAAACCTAATGTTTCAGGGGCTGCTTTGAGATATGTAGATGTTTCAGACATGTGCATGTAGTTCTGCACAGCCTAGCAAACTTTTTTTCCACTATGCCTCAGATTTTTCCAGATGCAATCAAAATTTCTCTGTAAGCCTATTTAGAGCAAAAGAAAGACTTTGGAAACATTAAGGATCAATGTGAAGTTTCAGCAAAGAAGAAAAACTTGCATTTTGAAATGGTCAAGGGTAGTTCTGTGATTCTTTTCTGAAATTTGGGTGACTGTTTCCCTGTTTATAAAGGCCAGACTAAGATGGGGCAAAGAGTGCCGGGACTACAGGATAGCAGCCGTGGCTACCACAGGCCAACTGGCGAAGAAGCCAGCTGTGCAGCTGAAGGTGCAATGGGGAAATCTTCCATCCTGGATAAAAAAGACAAGCACAGGGTACGTAATTCGTTCTTTCCTAAGTTGTTATTTTGCCTTTTTTATGCTAGTGGGCTTTATAAAGCACTGAAAGAATTGGATGAAATTTTTCAATCCGAACATGTTTGGGGTTTTTTATATGGAAAAAACAAGTTCAGTGGTGCAGAAGTATTTTGTTAATGTGCTCTACTTTCTTCACTTGTTTCATATTAAAAGATACCCCCCAAATATTTAAAAACTTGACATGCTTAATTTCATTTTCCATATTAAATTATTTGATAGTTCAAAATGTCTTTTTGTTTTGAAATGTTCTTCTATTCAGTCTCAAAAATACCCATTTTAAATGAGCAAAATAAAACCAATGTGTTTCCTCTGGGTAAATCAACCATTTTAATTTGAGCCAAAGTATTATTTCTTTGACTTTTCAATTCAGAACTGCCAGTAGTCCTCATCCTCCCATGTCTGCTTTTGCTCATGTACCTGAGTTTGTCACATCTTGTTTATCTCTAGATTCATGCAATACGTTCCCGGTGCAGCACTCGTGTTGGGCTTCTCAGAAGCACATCAGAGAAATCCATCTCATGAATTTATAGTAAGGGCAGCTGCCACATCTCCACGAACAATTGATACAGTAATTAAAGCTCCTGGGGTACGTGTCAATTTTTATTTTCCTTTTCCTTACCTTGAATGGATTTTCAACTAATAACATTTGGATACCTAATGTAAAGAATAAAAAGTAAAACATTCCCTTTTAGAGAAGCTGCTATATACCTGACTACATTACATGGGACTTGAAATACATACAGGAGTACTGTTGATTTTGTGCTGCTTTGGTGCAATGTAGCAGTAAGTTGAAAATCAGACTCTAGTCAAATACCTTATTTCCATGCTGGGAACAGCAGTTAGGCCCAAATTGTCTCAAGTATGACTACTCTGCACTCACACCTTGATTCATGTTACCCAGTGTGACTAGTTCAGGGGGATATATAGGGGCCTCAGATAACGGAGGCCTTGAGAACACCTTGCACTCCATTGCATCCATGTGTGGCATCTATCTGTGTTGTCACCCAAGTCCCGCATCTGCAGTAACCATGCTTGATGGGGCAGGGCAGAGCAAGTTATGACAGCCACAAAAACAACTCTGCCTTAACCAAGCTGGAGCAGTTACTTACACTCTCAGAACAGCTTGCACAGGCTGGATCTGCAGAATCCCACTGATTAATTGGTCCTTGTCCACCAAATCCCTATGCACCGCTTTGAAAAATTTTCCCTATGGATCTCTGGCAAATTAATAACAGCTAGCTATTCATACACAGAGAAATTAGTGTGTCTTTAACCTTCCATGGTGCTTCAGTATTGCAGGCTCTTTAATATATGATAATGAAGAAGTAGGCACACTAGGCATTAATTTGATTCTCTTGGTAAATGTAATTTGTAGCTATAGTGAGGGATCTTACCCCAGTGCTCATCATGCCAGTTTTCAGCCTGTAATGGATGCTGTTCACTTTTCCAGACACATCCATCAGCTTAGTCAGTTACTTAACTTGTTACCTTATTTTTTAAGAAGTCACTTAATTATCACTTAAACTTCATATATGTCGATTACTTTCCAACGTCAATAACAAATCTCAAAAAGGCAAGAAGTACAACTAGAAGAGAAGACAATTATTCCTCACAAAAGCTTAAGGTTTGGGTGCATCCTGGAGAGACTAACACAACTGCAATTGTATAAATGCATCTTCAAGATTTTTTTCTTCAAGATAACAGTCTTTTTTTGTTTGCAGTCATATCTTGAGCAATATGGTTCAATTTATCATAATGTATTTTCATTTCTGCTTTTTCAGATAACACTTTACTATCAGGCACTCCGAATGCCATTCACTCTGCCCTTAGGCCCATCTCCAACTTACAAGACTAGAGATATCACTGCCTGGAATTTATTTCCTGAAATAGCTTCGCAAATAGCACAAGAAGATCAATGTAAATATTACTTATATGCTTGTCTCATGAATAATCAGTGCTTGTAGATCTGTCCTCTGCCATGACTGGGCCTTGCCCTTCCTTGTAGTGGTCTTCTAGGGAAGCATAGCATCACTAACCCTGCTTTCTCAAGAGCTTATTCCTTCACCTAAAAGCATGTTTGTTGCAAGGTGAATGGAGAGACATCAAACTGATGTAAAAATTCAGAGTTCAGGAATCCCTCCTGTCTGCAAGGCCTAAAGGTTGTCCTTTGTGCCTTCTAAGAAGGTGCCATCTCTGCATTGAGAGGCATCAGATGATGGATACAAGAAAGATCATGTATTTTCTGCCCTGTTTATTTTCTTCAAAAAGGAATCATGTGAGTCTTGGTTGGTGCCTAGCACTTCTCTGGGAAATGTGAACTAATTTTTATCATGGTTAGTTACTATTTTTAGTTTCTCAATAATTTGGTACATTTTAGACCCTTTTAGCTTGAGTTCTGTGTTTAGCATGTAATCAAAATCAATACTAGCATAGTCTATATCTGGTAGTTATTCTGTAGTGCTATCCTGTCCTTCCAGACTCTGGCAGCACAGAAAGCTTCTGCCAAGGAGATAATGAAGTTTCCTTCCTGTTCACTGGCTAGTTCAGACTCAGAGGTGGTTTTCAATACTTTGCAGAAACACGTATGCCATTATCACATCTGCCATTTCTTTTCTGATTTTGTTTTGCAGCCACATGTGAAGTTAGCGAGGGAGATTTCAAAACATTCGATCACATGAGCCATACATATTCTTTCAATAAAAGCTGCAACCTGATAGTGGTCCAGGACTGTACTGAACACCCAAAATTCATCATTACTACAAGAAAGGTTGATCCTCAGTCTTTCTCAAGAGAGGTTCACATAAATACAACCTCAGTGTAAGTGTGGTTTATCCTGAGGGCTCAGGAATTGGGCATAAAATTTCAGGGAGTTAGTCTGGGGATGGGCAATGTCTAGCTCCTAGGTGAAACTGGTTGGCAATCAGATAGCAGGGGAAAGACAGGATTTCCAGAAGGAATCCTCATCTGAAATTCTGTGGTTTAATTGCTCTTGTCTTCAATTTCACAGTCACTGTTATCTGATAATGTGCTTATTAAGTCCCCATGCTGTCTTTTCTTTAAAGTTTGAATCTCAAAACCCAAAGTCCCAATGAATTTTGCACTTTGGAAAGAAAACAGCTCATTCATTCATTCATTCAGAATTCAGGTATTCAAATTGGTTCTCTGCTAGCTTTGGTCACAAATATCTCTACTTTGCACATTTTAAATTAACCACTAGTTTCTTCATTTTTTTTTCTTTTTCTGAAGGAACATCACAATCTGTCCTGCCGCAAATTCATCTCTCCTTGTGAAATGCAATGAAGAACCAGTTCTCTCACACAATGGAGTTTCTGGGTATGAAAAAGGTAAGCTGTGATACCCTAACCACTTTTCCAGGACTGACCTGGAAACTAAATAACTTCAATGAGTTTTTATAAACTCCACAGAAAAATACCAATGTAAAAAAAAAAAAAAAAAAAAAAAATAAGATTTGTAGTGACTTACATTCCTGTCTCCTACAGTATATACACTCTTACTTTCCTCCAGCATAAATAGTATGTCCAGGTTGGTGATTGTTTAGATAAAAAGTCCTTGTAGTCACAGTTAAATGCTTTGGTTCAGATATTTAGCTGGAGGACCACCAACATCATTATCATGTCAAGACTTAGCAGACTCGATACAAAAGTGAGTTCCAAATTTTTTACAAATAAAGAGATAATTTCTTCTATTTTTGCTTTCTCTCTCTACCAAAAAATAAAATTCCAACTGTAGCAGCAAAATTATTGTGATAGAAAATACATTATGGTGTATTTTATGGTACTCACTTTCTCCATTAATTTGAAATTAAGCAGATCACCTTATGGTTCACTATCTTTTTACAGACAGTGTTAAAATTTATAAGAATGAAACAACAGTTATGGTGGAAGTTCCAACACACGGACTGAAGAATGTGACTTTTGATGGTGTGATCCTTAAGGTATTGAGCTTACTTTCAAGGTTACTACTTTCTTTCTGTTTAGTACCTTGGCAATGTAACAGACCAACACTTCAGAATTCACTACAAAGCTGTGCTATTTTATAGGTTACTGTTGCTTCATGGTTGAGAGGAAAGACCTGTGGAGTTTGTGGAAATAATGACAGAGAAAAGCACAATGAACTCCTAATGCCAAATCATAAGCTGGCACACAGCTGTTCTGCTTTTGTTCATTCATGGGTATTGCTAGAAGAAACTTGCTCCAGTGGTGAGTAGATCTGAAAACACTTTATGCTTGGGGAGAATATGATTTCATTTTTCCTCTGCCAATAGCTAGAAAAAAAAAATAAAAATAAAGCAGCAGATAACTTTTACTTAGAAAAGACAATGGCAATATATATCCATTTTAAATTCATTAACCACTGACTGTTTAAAACACTGTCTGCAAATATAGACACTATATACTATAGGAAAAGTCTGTCTTATACGCAGTTCAGTAATTGATTCTACTATAATTTCTTACACTGAGTAGCTTTTTGCTTGGAGTCAAAATCAGTCCCAATCTTTCTCCTACTGAAATGAGTGTGGTTTTCAACAGTGAATTAAAGCAGTTTCAGCTATTGTCTGCAGACTTAATTTAATCAAACAAGTTGCAGACTATAAGTCAGATCTTAAGTTTATGTAAATTTTCAGAGTGCACAAAATTTATTTTTTGTTTTGCACCATCTGATGGTGCAATCTCAGGGAAATATTTAGAAATACTCCTAAAGTAAAATAGCATCCTCTCACATGTATCTGGAAAAATAATTATGATCTCCCATAACATCAGTACAGTGGTGTTCTGTAGGTCTCCATTTACCTCGGACCTGAGATAACTTTATTGAAGTTAATGGTTGTTTTCTCCTTGACTTCAGTGGCAGCAGAATTGTACTTATCTGTGTGTCAGGAAACAGAGTCATAGCTGGGATCCTGTTAAGTTACATTATACCTTTCTAGTGAGATAATTGCAGCATTATAAAAATCATCCAATACAAAAATTATCCTTGATGTTATTATATAAATGCTGCCTTTTTTTTAATCCATTCACTACAGTTGACATTTTTCCTAATGCAATGAAGTAGCCATTGTGCTTGCAGTATCTATTCTTAATAGCTTTCAGACATGAGAGGTTATTTTCTGTGTATTATGTAGTTCTAAAAAACTGGGTATACATGATTCCATTTGGATTATATTGTGCAATTAGATTTTAAAAATAGCTCCCCTTTCAGACTCTTTCCTCTATCCCCCAACTTATTATCATCCTATCTCGATAACCTCGCTACTGTGAAAATGGTTTGTCAGGCACCTGTGTTTTAATAAAAGCTGAAGAGAAAATATGGACCTTTATTATTACAAGGATCGATTGGGATTTATTTCTATAATTTTAACTACTTTTCCTTTTCCTCTTAGGGTGCAAGCTGCAGCGCAGTTATGTGAAGCTGAATCGAAATCCTACTATTGATGGAGAGGAATCTACGTGCTACTCTGTTGACCCAGTACTGAAATGTATGAAAGACTGTACTCCAATCGAAAAAGCTTCAGTTAAGGTTGGCTTCCACTGTTTCCCAAAAGGTATGATATTTTTCTCTCTCTGTGTCACGTACTGTAGGAGCTCTGCTGGAGCACTCAAAAGAACAAAACACAGCACAACCACGCACAGACCTGTATTGCTCCGGCTCCTCTCTGAGCTGCTGTTTTTAATCCCATTAGTGTTTGCTATAACCACTGACAGTACTGGCCAGCTAAAAGCTTGTTTAGATGATGGCAGGTAGCATCATCTGAGAAAAACATTTGAGGTGGTAAAAGGGACAGCAATGATCGATAAAATTTTTTTCACATTTTCAGGATCTCCATAAAGTTGAGATAAGCAACACTGAGTCCTTTTATGCACAGTACAGCCTGCAATTTTGTGTAGACCAGGGCAAGTAAGGCAATTGAAAGTCAGTCAAATAGTGTGACATGACTGCTGTGATTAGGCTGCCACGCTATGTCACTGTGCAATACATCAGCAAAAAACACATTGATGAAATGTTCTCTAGATTGTTCCAAAAAATGGTTTGTTTTTGAAGGTATTTTATACACACACACTCGTGCCCCAGATTTTTAGAAATACTGGCCCTTTTTCTCCTTTCACTTATACCAATTTGTCATGGATGTGATGCATTGTCTGTCACAGGTCCACACTGAAGTTATGTAAGCATGAGAGAATCCAGACTGACACCTACAGATATTTCTGGTGCATTCTTTCCCAAATCTTGTAATGAATTACCTACCATTAGGGAGTGTCTACAGAAGTGGACTGTTCTGTGTGTTAACCAGTGTTGGCCAAATCCAATGGGATAGCTGGGATAATCCTGTGCAGTTTCACTGAAGCCAATGAACTCCTGTGTTGAGTACTGGGGAGGAACAGAGTATTTTATGTTGGATTTTAAACAACATCTATGTAGAACTTTGCACTCTGCTTGTGTTACTAATATCTGCAACATGCTGAATCAGCCCATGAAAACAATGAGTATCTTTCTATAACAGTCAACCATCTACAACAGTCTATTCAACAAGTAGCACAGAGAGAGTGCTAATAGTTTTCTGACGGCTCCCTGAGATGTGAATAGATGCATCATTTTATGAAAAGAAAAACCCACCCTCAACAAAAAAACCTTCCAAAATCTTGTCATATCCATGTTTCACAGATTTCTTTTTTTGTGTCCAATCTGTATCTCTGAAATGTCATCACCCCAGGCCACTCACTGCCTCAGAATATTAGGCTATAATAAAGCTGTCTCATTCTTCCACAAAAATGTGTGAAAAAAGAGGAAAATCAGGAAAAAAAAAAAAAAAAAAAAAAAAAAAAAAAAAAATGCTGCTTTTACAGCAACTGCAGGCTTCCCTGGTTCATTTACTGAACCAGAGACAGGGAAGTCTGCTAGCAGGTCTCCTAATCAAGGCTTTTTTTTAATTTATTTAACCTGACAAGAAGGAGGAGAAGGGGGAGGAGGAGGAGGAAGGAAAAAGATGCCATTTGCATTTTTTAGCAATATGATAGCTTTTCTTCCAGTTAAGGATCAATAGGAATACAAGGCCAGTCCTTAAAAACTGTTCTTTTTCTTTCTTTGTTCAATGATTTGGAGAAGTAGCAGAAGCAAAATCCTCATCTTTCTCAAGCTGAGAACATGTATTTGCATACACTGTTCAAAAATACTCACTGGTCTAAAAACTCAGACCTGATAGTCTGCCGTTTCAAAAGAGAGGGACTCCATCACTGTCACCAGTGGAGCAAGGATAAAATTAAGTTTCTACAAGGATGCAGAATTTCCCCTGTTGTGCTCAAATCAGTGAGACTGTAGTCTTAGGATCTTGACTGAGGCAGACATTGCTCCAAGTTTAAGTCCACATATTGGTTTACATTTCAAACATGCCACAAGCCCTACCCATAGGGACTGTAATTACTCAGCCATGATCCAGTCTGCTGAGGAAACTATTTCCTACATGGATGTGAATGTGATCGGACCCACAGTGTACCCAAGAGTAAGAGACATAACAAGAATTAATGTATATAAAAACCAGAACCCAGACATTTTATAGCATTTCTCATTTCACAGCTTGAAAATATTATATATTTTTAAAAAGCATCTCCAGCAACTTTCTGGGAAATATTTATTATCCAGTATATTATGCAAAACCTGTGCTCAGGTTGTACAGTAATTTAGCCAAGGGAGAGTGCTAGCATTTCAGGAGATAAGTGACTGATATAACCTGAACTCATAGAGAGGTCTCCAGATTTCTCTGTGATGAGAGATGGCATGTTATATATGTATTGTCCAACTAAGGGATAAAACAAATGGAGGTAAAATTATGAAAGCTTTACCCATTCTCATTATACAAACTTAATCTAAATGGATGTCCTAATATTGTTCCAGATGCAATGATAAACCTCCAACTAGCTAAGAATATTTATTGGGAGGATGAATATCATTATTCCATTTAGATTATTTCAGCATTAAGGGATATGGCTTATTCAAGCTGCTGTTGATAAAGCAGCGTGGTAAGGTTAATACTGCAACTGACAATGCTCTGCCAGATTTCACAATATATGGGAAACTTTAATTAGAAGTTTATGAACCTCTGAAAATTCTCCAAAGGGCTTATCCTTCAGAATGAACTTCGACAAATAGTCAGCTGAAATACGCAGTGATATGCAGCACTAACATAAAAAGGGATTGCTGATGTGTATTGGTGCGTGGTGGTCTTACATTGACGGTGGCTACCTCCAGTACTTTTACAGCCTCCTGCCTGTTGTCTTTGCTTCATGAAATGTTATTCATTTTGCTTTTAGGGAAGTATTATAGTAATTATATCATGGATGAAAATCCTGCTCCAAGTCAATGAGTCAGTTAGATGTCAGTTGTGGGGGCAGGATTTTATTCTTTACTTGATGAGGGAGTTGGCAGCCATCAAAACAGTATTTCCTTGAAATGTGTTAATTTTCTTGATGTTAGTTAACAATGGCTTTGCTCTTCTGACAGATACTGCTGTAAGCCTGCTGGAATGGCAGAGAAGCAGCGATAAGAAATCTGCATCTGAGGATGTTGTGGAGTCTGTGGATGCTGACATTGATTGTACCTGCACTGGTGACTGTAGTTAAGCTAAACGCTTTAGTGTTGTGCTATAGATGTACTATACGAATAATTGAATAGCTGGACAGATAAGAAGGGAATGTAATAGCTGTAGTAAAATATTAAGAAATGTACTTGAAGAAAATAAGCCTACTGCACTGCATCCAAAGTCAAATGCATTATGTACAGTCTGCACTGCTTAATAAATATGTTGTTCATTAAATAAGTATTCATGTGGTCTCTCTCTTTATTTTTCCCTATCAACACAACAATCAGACCAACTATAATATTATCCAGAAATTCTGCTTCCTTTTATCTGAAATATAATTACAGCAGTCCTCTCTTAAAATTATGTTCACTAGGTGATGAAAGAAAAACATGATTACAGCTACTGCTAACATTCCATTGTGCAAAGAATTTCATATTTAGCATACTAAAGGCACAGTAAGCATTTGTTTTCTTTTATGTTTTCTGGTAAAGAGCAAAGTCTGTTCTTGGAACTGTTCTGCAAAAAAATACATTTTACTCCCAGCAAGACCATTAGCCTTAGTACATTCTACAAAGGAATGAATTGGACTGCTAGACTCCCACTGCAGCTTTCCAGAGAGCTATAGTGTGTGACACTGTCCCCATTTTCATTTAAATTTCAATGGATGTGCTGTTGCTTCATGAGCTAAAAGTATGAATAGGAACTTTTTTTTTATGGTTTACCATCTCCTATTGTATACCTATGAAAATGATACCTTAAAAAACTTCAGGGAACAGTAATACATCGGGTAGCATTCCAAATACTCCAAAAAATTAATGTGTAGAAAACTAGGTAAGATCAATAACATCATAAAGTTAAAATAAAGTACAAGCAAGACAGACTGTGCTTAACCAGGGGAGTGTCAATCTGCTAGCTTTCACTAAGGCCTGTGCAGGAAGGCAATCCCTCCCACCCCAGGGTACCAGAAAGAGGTGGCACCTTCAAACCCTGTGCAACGGCAGAATATCTCTTCACCTTGTACATGAATCAGCCATGCAGTGAGCCATGATATGTTTTCTGTAACAGTCAATAGCAGCCAGCATGCTCTTCCAAGAGAAGCCTCAGCCTGGGCGAGGTACTGCAGAACCCAAATGCTGTCAGGAAACTGTCATTAAAGAAAATACTTTTCTTTCTACTAAAAACTGAGCTATCAGAAAGATGATTGAAGACTAAATAGCTGAACAATTACAGAATAACATTTCTCAGTGGTTTTCTTTCAAGAGCAGAAATATGAGTAATGTATAGTACTCCTCGGTCTCTCTCAAGTTGCAGCTTGACACCAACTAGAATAGAAAAGACCCCAGTTTTTCTCTGTGTACTGCACTTACTCCTTAATTCCAGAAGGAAGTAAACTATTATGAGTTTGTTCAAACCAAGGCTCAGTGGGCTGAGCCCTGATGCCTGGTGCGTACACTGTGGTACCATGTTTGCCTCTGGCCCTAAGCCTCTCTCCTGAGGATAACCTACTGTTGTGGGTTAAGCCCAGAGGGCAACTGAGCACCATGCAGCTGTTTGCTTACTCCTCACCCCACCTCGCAACCCTCCACACCTGCGATGGGATGAAGAAGAAAAAATACACCAAAAGGCTTGGGTGTCAAGACAAGGACGGTGAGGGCTCACTCATCAATTATCATCACAGGCAAAAAAACAGACTCGACTTGGGAAGAAAGAATATCAATTTAATTTGAACACCACAAACAACTTACTAATCAAATCAAAGTAGGACAGTGAGAAACACAACCACATCTTCAGAGCACCTTCCCCCCACCCCTCCCTTCTTCCAGGGCTCAGCTTTGCTCCCAATTTCCCTACCTCGTCCCACCAGGGGTGCAGGGGGCAGGGAATGGGGGTTACGGTCAGTTCATCACCTGTTGTTTCTGCTGCTTCTTCCTCCTTGGGGGAGAACTCCCCACACTCTTCCCCTGCCCCAGCGTGGGGTCCCTCCCATGGGAGATAGTCCTCCCTGAACTTCTCTGACACGAGTCCTTCCCATGGGCTGCAGCTCTGCATGAATTGCTCCAGTGTGGGTCCCGACCGTGGGTCGCAATTCTCCCAGCAATGAATTGCCTCAGTGTGGGCTTCCCTCCCTCAGAGTCCGGCCTTCTCCAGGCACAGCCACCTGCTCCGGTGTGGGTCCCCGCGGGGCTGCAGGCAGATCTCTGCTCTACCTGGGACTCCGTGGGTGGCAGGGGCACAGCCTGCCCTCTCACCCGCCTGCAGGGGTGTCTGCTCCGGCACACCTCCGCCTCCTCCGCCTCCTCCTTTCTTCAGCTGACCTCAGTGTTTGCACTGGTATTTCTCTCACAGCTCTTCCTCCTCTCAGGTTCCCCTTCTTCAATATACAATTACAGAGGCGCAGCCACTGTCACTAACTGGCCTGGCCTTGGCCAGAGGTCGGAGTTGGGGCAGCTTCTAGAAGCTTCTCACAGGAACCACCTCTGTAGCCCCTCCCCTGCTACTAAAACCTCACCACACACCAACCCCATACACCTAGAGAAAGCAAAAGAGAACTACCCACCTTTTTCCCTTCCCCAACCTTAATTTAGCCTATATGTTGTACCTGAGAACCTTTGTGTGTACTGGGGCTATATGCAGTTAGCCAGTGCTCTATTCAACAGTATGTTCAAACTAAGACCAGTAACATGAGTTCTTGTGCAGTGTTTTTATTTGTAATAAAGCATTCACAAATTCCCTGTACAAAAGCTGTGTTTTGCTAACTCATCAGAAGTCCTACACTGAAAAAAAGCATAGCCCCAGACAAGAGGGGAGATGAAGACCATTGCATTCCACTTTTCTTTAACGTATTGTTTTCCCTGTGGCTTATGGGAGATTTGCCACTGACTTTCATAGGATCAGACTGTCATCTTTAAAACAACACCTTTCTCTTTAATCCACTGTTTACAAAAGAGAAACTTTTGCAAGTCAACCACTTCAGATAAGACAAAGGTAGCGGAGAGATGTAGTGAGAGAAGAAAAATGAACTTTCATGCTCAACTACTAGAACAGGAATTTAGTAACAGCAAAGAGCCATTAGTAAGAGAAGTAATTCTGCTGGCAGTAAAACACAGTCATCTACACAGAAGCATGACACTAATTAACAATGATCAAGCTGGGATGTACAGTACAAAAAATACAAGCAGCTCATAAAGGCAAATGCCTTCTCCCAGAAACAATTTACAGACTGTTAAAGTCACTGGAAAAAAACTTGAAGGCAGTGACTGTTCAGCAGTCCTAAATTATTTTATTCTACAGTGATGATATATAATAATACTACATACTGTCCATGATTAAAGAACAGTAAGTGTACCAGGTCAGGCCTCTCCCTGGTGAAGCCCCACTTCGGATCCTGCACCAGCGAGAAGGTACCTCCAGCGCCCCAATTAAAGGGAGGCTCCTTGGTTAGCACTTTCCACTGGCTGTGGTGTTCACGGACAACAGAGCTCCCAACAGCAAAATGTTGCATGTGATCACTTCAGCCTAGAAGTCCTAAAGAAACTCCTAACTCACGTGCTGTCCCAGACATGAGGAAAGAAAGGTAAAAATGCCCCACAATGTCAGAGCACAACCAGGGAATTATCTCAGCATCACCCTGCCAGTAACGCAGACTGGGCTAGGGTGCAGGCTCAGCCAGAGGGAAAAAAAACATCACTAGCAACACCCAGGCACATTGCTTTCGCTGCTCTGCACATGGCATGGGTGAGACATGGCTCTTATTTCCATTTCAAAGGGGCAGCTTTAATTTCTGTCCGGTTCATGTTCGTCAGTGCCCTCTTGCTGAGACAGCTGAATGCCTTTGACTGAAAGACTCCACTGATGTTGCAGCTGTAAAATCGAAATATAATGATAGTTAGTAAAGCCTGAGGTTGGCAGTGGGCACAGCAAAGCAAAACACTTAGAACCAGCTCATTTTGCCAAAGGAATTAAGAGCATTAGCAGTACAAGTGTGAAAAAGCCCTTCTGGAGTTTCTAATGCACCACACAGACATTTCCAACCCATCTGGGAGGATATCTGCAGTCCAGATTTAAACCTCATTTGGAAATCATGCCTGTCCTATCTTATAAAGCAAACCAAAGTTATATAGCCTACGGAGTATTAAAATGTGTACTTCACAAGCTAAGGTTTTATGCACTCTACTTTTCATTCTTAGTGCTTTTCAATGATATGAATTAATGAACTCTGGATTTTACTGTAGTAATCAAGGAATATGACCTTGTAATTATAGTACTCCAGTATTGTTTAAAAAAATGAGTGTCAGCAAAAAGATGCAGGCCTAAGCATCAGCCAGGCTTGAGTCCTAATCCTGCCTTTGCAGCTCTGTAATGCAGTTTTACATGAGTCTGGGGATTTCTGTGCCTCATTTTCTGCATCAGAAGGATATGACTACTCACCTACTTGATGGAGTCAGAAATGCTTATGAATTTATAGTCCCGTATGTCTTTTGTAAGTTCTTCAGTGATTCTAGAGATGAAGAGTAAATTTTTCCACTAGACCTCCTAACCACATGAGTATGTTTTATTGCTAAGTTGAAGGTTTTCATTTTCAAATTCACCCAACTGTAAAATAAGTATACGTTTGGAAAAAATCAAAACAATGTACTTAATTTGTTCATGGTCAACTTTGGTTAAACCTTAGTGGATTATTCATAAAAGCCTAGAATTTGATCCTGCTATTACAGTGGGATAGACAAAAGGCTATTGGAGACAGAGTCTTCTGTATCCTAGACAAAGAAAACAAACCTTTTGTCCATCAGACTTGACTCTTTTGATCAACTAATTTTAAATGACACAGTGACTTTCAGGAAAACATGGTCATTTTGCTCCAGAGAAAGGAGCTGTAGCATGATAGGAAAGGACAAAACTGTTAATATCAGACCTCTCCTGGAAATGAAATGCCTGCTCCACAGCATGAGCGCTGGAAAAAAATAACATGTATAATTCTAACGCCGCTGAAGTCAATGGTTAAACTCAAGAGAGCCAGGCTTTTACTCAGCATGTTTGAATGAGTTATTAAATGAACTTTAGTTGTCCCTAAAAATAAATGTACTGTGTGGATCTAAGTGCAGCTGATGAATAAG